CTCTGCTAGATTGGAGGGGCACAGACAAAGTCCCTAGGGCCAACCAGCTTTCAACGCCTACCTGGGCAATCTGCAACATCTCAGGGTTAAGCCGGTTCAAATGGAAGACAAATTCTGCAAAACCGATCAGCGCCAACTGGATCGTGAACATCTTTCGGAATGTCCAGTAGTCGGTAGCGTTGGGGAACGTGTGAAGGGCCCACTCCTTCAGCATGCTGCGTGGCACCATGTTACCCTGAACTTCTTTCAGAATATCCCGAAGGACCTGAAAAGGAAAGAGTAGGATGACCAGGAGGTGGGTTGGTTACACTGTTGGGCGCTGTGGGGCAGAACCTTGAAATGATGTTAGTTGGAAACACTAACCCCACTCCCTTCTAGCAGTGAAGATGTTACTTAGACGGGTAACAAAACATTTGCAAGAAAACAGCCAAGCTCAGAGAACCCCAAGGACCCCTCAGTTCAACCCTGAGCTACACATATTCACTTCTATTATATTCTTCTTCCCTATCACTTTTAGGGGGTCAAATCTTACTGTTCAGATGGTCCATAAAGGGCTTAGATCAGCCTCAAATCTCTAAGAGCTTTTCGCTCCCACACATTCTGCAGGCGAGTTGGGTCTCACGTGTAAATATCTGTAAGTCACCCATAATGAATTACTACAGCATGGACTGGCTTAATTAATTGGAGCTAGAAATAAAGAGGGGAACTGCTCCTGTGTGCTCGGAAAGAACAATCACTGCACTTGCTCAAATTAAATTATTCAGGGAGACAAAATTTCTGCGAGCCGAAGGCAAGTGCCTTGAAAGAAAAAGGAGACAGATGTTCCAAGTCACTTGATTTTTAGGCTGGGCAAAGAATGAAAGGTTGTTTATTAGCAGGTGAACTTTCAAGATAGAGTGCACCTGGAATTTCACCTATTAAAAATAGGTCAAGGACAACGTTAGGTCTACCTATAAATTTTAAACCTTTTAAGCTAACTATTTCTTATCACAAATGGATGAAAACAGAAGATTAAGTCTTACTTATTCCATCTCAGAAAGACTCAAAGTGTGCACTGGTCAGAGTAAGGAAATTAAGGGAAAGATGTGGGACAGCAGTTTAAATGCCAACGGGAAAAGACTCGTAACAGACCAATCTCTTGAGTGTACAACACTAAGTGGAGAGTGCATTCTGGGGTACATCACCACAGTTCACCCAATTGCTTGGTATTATTATTTATTATGGTTGCACAATGCTTCAAATTCAGTTCCAGAAAGATACTTTGAAGTGTGCAGAGACATCAACGTAACAGTTGTTGGTGACTTTAACATCCCCATGTTCACACATCACACCTAGGGTCATGGGCAAGATAGGAAGGTTGTAAAAACACACACAACCAGTCAACAGCAGGTTAAAGGGGGTTCATTTCAGCTCAAAAGAACTTTGTCCCAAAAACAGAGGCGAAAAATTAACACCATCTCTTCCTGCTGCTTTTGTAGAGGCAAAGTTCTAGAAGGCCCCCATAACAATATTTTAGCAATTGCATCTCTCTGTTCATTTTGCTTTTCATCCCCCTCCCTGAAGTCCAAGAAGAGTGGAAGAGAAATAATAAGGTGATGGGATATATGAGTCAACCTCCCAATATTCACTCTGCAGTGGTGCTAGATCAATCAGGCCACTGCGTTATCTTTTTTAAAAATTTTCTCAAAAAGGCTTTGTTTTTTACAAGTGAAAACCTCTCAACCACTTTTGCAGCACCTGGAAGGTTGCCCATAGGGGAGCAGTTGAGTAGGTCAACCATGTTCTCCACGTTTAAGTGTGGCTTCCACCCAAGGCCTCCAAAGGCAAAAAGAAAGAACATTAAATGCCACCCCCCAAACCTTTTCATCCTACACAACATCTGCTTTTCCCATAATCGCATTCTATTAGGTAATCACGGTCTTCTGTTTTTGTTTGAGGGGCTTCGGTTTTCAGAGTCCACCATGAGCTTAATGTGATGCAAGGGCTTCCAAGGGCTTCTGGTGTCTCTGCATTAAAACAGTATTCAGCCAATAAAAAAGCAGGGGAGGAAGAAGGCCAGAGAAGGATGCCAAAGCAAGGAAAGCAAAGAGGTGACAGAAGTGGAGAAGAAAGCCCATCCTCAATCTTTGGTTGCCGGTGCAATACCTGGTGACTGGCCTGGGTTCCTCGTGCCTGGACGGTCGCCAGCCTGTCATAGTAGCGAGAAATTGGGCTGTCGTGCTCAATCCCTTTCTTGGCACAGCGCTGCTTGTAGATCTCCACCAGGGAAAGAGAAGAGGGATTGTCTTCTACCAGGCGCATCTGGGGAGAGACAGCCACAACTCGGGGAACTGGAAGAAGGGGACAAGAGGAGAAAACAAAAGGAACAATTCATTTCATGGAAAACAGCTGGAAGAACCACAGCCAGCAAAGTCCAAAAGTTTATCCCTCTTTCATTGGGAGAGCACATATCCTTTTACCTTCAAATCTCTCCAGAGTCCTCTGTAATCTCTCTTCTAATCTCAGTATGCCATTTCTCGTAACTTATGGTCACAGCTTCTCATCAGCTCAGGCCACAGGAGATGCTGCAAGGCCTCACACAAATGCCCAACCTTGAGCGTTTAGGACTCTCAGGGTTCCCCAGACTTCACCAGTTTTCCTTCATAAGGCCAGAAGATACCCCTTTGCCTTCAAATTCTAACTCTGAGGATTCTGTAAGTGAAGCTGAGATACCATCACTTTACCCTCACTCCTGAGGGTGGAACTTAAGGGAAAAATATGCATCTTCTCTGAGACTTTGCTGGAATTTCTCCTTGCTAAGACCTATTTATGAACCTATTGCTGGTAGTTTACCTTCACCTTAGATAGTTCCTTCAAGTTTGACCTTCAGCTGTCCAATTTCATTTCCTTTTTGTCTTGTGTTGCTTTGCACTAACAGACAACCCAACTTTGGTTCTGCTTTCTCTCTTGTATCTTCTTGCCCTACCAGCTTTGACTTCAGATTTGTCAATGTGCACTGTTCATTGAGCCAAGTTCTATCTGAGGTCAGCACAAAACAAACCCATCCTTGCCTCTTCTAAACAAAACTCACAGAACCCTGTTTTGAGCCTGAAACCCTCAAAATGGTCATTTTGTGCTTGAAATGTTTTTGTACATGGCTGTAAATGTTTCTGTACATACAACATGTAAACGTTGTAAATGTTTTTGTACATGGCCTCACGGCTAATACTTCGGATTTCTTTTCAACAGAATTTGAAAAAACAGAAAAAACCAAAAAAAGAACAAAAATATTTGGGCTGAAAGGAAGGCACCTCTGAGTTGAGGAAATGCATGAGTGGGATGGACAATGGATTTTTTTCAGTCAAATGCAGGCCATGTTTGTCCACCCCCCAAATCACAGCTACAATATTGAGTTGATTGATCAACTGCAAACACTGTAAAAAATTTCCCTCCTAGTCAGTCAGCAGATTTTAAAGCTTTTCCAACATTCCACTGGAACCCTTACAACAATGACAGGCAACAGCTACAATCTTAAACATGGCACGCCCTCTTCTGCGAGAGAGAAAAGGGGAGGGGAGCACGAAGCCACAACGTGCATGTGCATGTTTTGTGATGGGTGAGCAGCCTTTCTATTGTCAAGGGCTGGATTGCTTCCAAGGTAAACTTTTGCGGAGGGGGGAGCACAGGGTGGGCTGGGCTGAAGCAAACAATGGGTGGAGATTGAGGGAGACAGAGCAAAGGTCTGGGAGACCAGCCCGTCTAAATAAAAGCGAGAGTGTTTAATCAAGCAGAAGCACAATGAGATGATCGAGTGAAGAGCATTGTCCATCTCTTACAGCATACTCAAGAACTCTCCACAGAGAGAGCTCACAAGAGGACCTACCCAGAACAGACATTCAGCCTGTCAAAGATAACTCTGAACAAGCAAAGGTATAACCGTGAGCAGATTCTAGTTCCCCTGCCTCGGTTGCTACACCGTGCCACTGGAAACCTGAAGGCAACTGGCAAGTTTGCTTCCTTTAATTAAGGCATGAAATACGGTCTTCTGTTCCAGTAGCAAAAAAAAACCCAGAGCAGGGCTCAAAGCTATTGGAGATGCAACAGAAAACCTGCACAGACTGGGGAAGGAAAAAGCTGGCCAAGAACGAGGGAAAGGCCTTCACCAGCAAGGCTGTTGCCAGTCCACTGATACTCCAACTGTGACTTTTAGCTCTGTTTTATACCTGAGGTGTCAAGACCTGAAATTCTACACTCTGTCTTTACAGCCAAGAGACCAAAGAAAGAAAAGAGAAAAGAAATGTGATTTATTAGGTGGTGGTATATCAGTCCATAGCAGAACTATCAAATATGGCAAGGATACGACTTTCAGATGAAGTTCCTACAAAGCCACCAAAATTGGCTACAGAAGGAGAAGAAAAATCATTAAGTATATGGGATAGGACTCAGATGAACTGTATTTAATTCCACTTCAGTTTAAGTCAATTCTAATTAAACCAAATGTCCTGGTTTTGTCCTGGCCCCATCAATTTCTTGGGCAGCCCCCAGCCCCCCCAGGAGGCTAGATGCCCCCCAACACCCCCCCCCCCAAAATGCTGAAACCATTTGAACAGGTCATCTTACAAAAGCCAAAATAAAAAATAATGAAGGCAAGAGTCAGTAGGTTAAAAGTCTTGTAGAATATGAACCAGGACAGAAGCCTGTTCCCAACTCAACTTCCCCAACATGATATCTTGAGTCTGAGGATGATGGGGCTCATGATCCCTTCAGTCCCATTGGCACGGCAGACATAACTGAGTCAAGCTATCACCCCAAGATGATCACGTCACCCTAAAAACTAATCCAGGGGGGTTAAAATAATTCACCCCCAATCAACCGCATCATGCAACAACTTCTGGGGAGGGAGGGATGAGGTGAACCTCTCCACTTTAGAGGTAGCAAACCAGATTCTTTATACCTAATAGGATTTCTCAGTTGTCTCCTATTTGCAGAACAGGAGGCAGGAAGAAATGGAGACCGGTAAAGCCGCCCATCTTGCTCTGTCCACCATGATGCTGATTACTGCGGGGACGACATGGACCATGAACACTTCCTGGGTGACAAGGTTGTTCGAAATTCTACTTTGCTGGTGGATGAGGATGAGTGTGCTCCCAGGGGAACAGCTGTCTCAGCCATGTCATTCAAGCATGGCCAATGAAGCAGCTGAGTTTAATCACACTGAAATGGAGATACAGCTGCTTCTAATAAGAGTTCAGAGGAACCTCAAGTAGCAAACAGTGCAAAACTTTCTAATCCTTGCTTTCTGACCATCAGCAAGCTAGTGGTGATGCCTCCCTCCATGAACTGGGGAAAGAGACAAGCTCAGCCTTCACAGGGTTTAACTTCCTATTTAGGGACCCCGCCAGATTGCTGTGTTTCTCAACCTTGGCAGCTTTCAGAGGTGTGGACTTCGACACTCAGAATTCCCAGCAGCCTTGCTTCAGAGGTGTGGAATTCTGGGAGTCGAAGTCCACACCTCTGAAAGCTGCCAAGGTTGAGAAACACTGCTTTAAAGTCAGGCTTAGAAAAGCTACGTCAGGACTCTGTTTGCCAGCATCAGATAACCTAGAACAGCCTGAATTGTACTTTGTCACAAATAAGTAAGACCTGTCACAAATGTGGGGGCAGAAAAGAAAAAGTGAGAACGTAAGCATTAGGGAACAATACACCCCATCCCAAATGGGTTGTTAAAAATGACTCTGATTGAAGTATTTACTTTCCAAACATGTTCTTGATGGGTTTTTTTCCTCCTTTCATTATACGCAGAGAATTATTGTGTGACATGCTGCTATATTTAGTCTGCCATCAGTGAACTCGTAAAACTTAAAATAAAAAAACCCTCCAGAACCAAAAAGTTTGGTTGAATACTGTAATCAAACCCAATTGAGAAGCAGAAACGATGCACGCAAATTGTAACTGAAAAGAAATCTGACATTTTACCAAAGCAATACGAATGAACAATGGCGGTATTATGTTATTTTGCCAACACTGACTTTACGTTTGATCCTGGTGCCCACCCTGCCTGCTGGGCTGAAAAGAATAAAAACCACCCAACTTAAGTTATTGTAGCAGGAGAGTCCTGTTAGTCCCTGGTGGCAAAACAATCAGGATTCCAATAGCCCCTTTTCCGACTAACACATTTGATGAAAAGGTAGAAGCTTTTGTAAGCGGCAGGTTACTTCATCAGATGCATAGAAGGGCTAGACTGATGTAGTTCGTGGCCAGTCGAGCCGCTCCCTGCATTTAACGATGTGATTTGTAGCTCACAAAAATGGATGCCTTTCAATAGAATTCGTTAGTTGGAAAAGGCGTTACCAGACTCTGGGTCTTTTGCCAACTTAACATTAGTGCCCCGTCTCAACACTAATTCTAGAGGTTCTCTGAGCTTGGTTGTTTTCCTGCAGACGTTACATTACCAGGTTAGGTAACATCATCAGCACATGGGAAGATGAAGTTTGCGGATTGTTTCTTGCTTCTCTAGGTAACACTCAGATAAGCAGGAAACAGAAATCATCAAGGAATTAAACCATCAAGGAAGAAACAATAGTCTAATCAAGTGTGATGGAATGGAATTATGAAGGCCAGGCTCAGGGAGATAAGCGTGTTCTTAGTTCA